TGGACACATAGTACCGATGTAAATTCATGGTCACTGCCAACCAGGACCCATGTTAAGTGACACTCCTGTTCCTGCTTTTTACCACTCTGCAATGACAGCCATGTGTCTCTTTAAGCTCTTCTGCAACCAGGCACCAAGTCCTGTTTTGCTTATAAAAAGCCATCTAGGGGGCTGGAGAGATGGCTCAGCAGTTAAGAGCACTGACTGCTCTTGCAGGGGACCCAGGTTCGGTTCCTAGCACCTAGATGGTGGCTGACAACCATTTGTAATTCCAGTTCCAGGGGATCCAACACCACCTTCTAACTTCATGGGCATTGTATGACATGGGTACACTTACATATGTGCAGACAATACACCCATACACATCAATATAATAATTTTTTTTTTTTAAAGCCATCTAGTCACTGTTTCTGTCAACATGGAGGGCTCTGCTCTGGCCCTGGAACAGATGTTAGGGAGTCCTCATCTCACTTCCTGTTCTGACAGCAGAGCTATAGACCCTGTAGTCTTTTGCCTCTAAGCTTGTTCCAATCCAGGCCATTTTCTCACTGGATATTTGGCCGGGCATGGTGGCTCACGCCTTTAATCCTAACACTCGGGAGGCAGAGGCAGGCAGATCTCTGTGGGTTTGAGGCCAGCCTGGTCTACATAGTGAGTTCCAGGACAGCTGGGGCTACAGAGAGACCATGTCTCAAAAAGACCCAAAAAAAAAAAAAAATCCCCCTTTGATTTGCTTTTGTCAAAGATACTGCTTAGCTTGTCCCAGTCCTGACTACCATATCTTGTGGTTTCTTCTGTCTGAGACATTGTTATGGCAGCCCCACCCTCCTTTTTTGGCCTGATTTGTATTCTTTCAGCCTCAGTTTAAATGCCATTTCTTAATATAGCCCCTCGACCCCTCAGGCTAGTGAACACCCGCTCCCCCCACCCCTTTTTTTGACATGGAGGATCCAACACCTTCTGACTTGCTGGGCACTGTGCAACATAGGTGCACTTACATACTTGCAGGTAATACACTCATATAAAAGGTAGCCCTGGCTGGCCTTGAACTCAGAGCTCTGCCTGCCTCTGCCTTCCATCCTAGGATTAAAGCTGTGCACCACCACGCCTGGCTAGCAAAGCCTTTTTTGAAATAAGGTCATAAGCATGTAGCAAAACTATTTTGTTTTTCTTAGCATTTGGCACTAGCATTTATTCGATTATTTCTCATTATTTAGTAGCTAAAGAAGACATTCATGGAGTATACCTATTATGTGGTGCTCAGTATGTACAGGTGTCATCTCCTATACAAAAGCCTAGTGAGGTTAAGTCATTCAACTTGCTCAAGGCCTCATGCCGTCATTCAACTTGCTCAAGGCCTCATGCCAGTAAGTAGCAGGGAATTCAAACTTGGTGATTTCTGCACGGTGGCCTAGAAAAGCCAATGGACTGTGCTCTCTACCTCTCACCCTGTCCCCCAGATTATGTAACACTTGTTTTTTTCTGCAGGATGAGGACAGAGACCTTATCTGTGTTATTGACTCCATGTGGCATGGACCAATAAGTACTAAGTACTCAGGAAAATATTTGTTGGCAGACCTGCAATCTACGTTCTCTTGTATAAAATTCTATAGAAAAACAAACTCACAGACCATACCTGTAACAAGATTTTTTGACTATTCTGTCTGTGTAGCACAAGAGCTAGCGTACTGTAGACTCAAGGCCAGGCTGTTTGCTGAAAAAATAGAGCTGGCACTGTTGACTTTAGACAAGTGAACATTAAATGTTTTTGGATTATGGAATAGGATGAATCACAAAATTCCAGCAGGGTAGGGAATATTGGGATTAAAGTCCAGGGTGGGATTTTAATAGTGGAAAGATAGAGGAGAAGAACAGAAGGTGGGAAACGACAGAAAAGCGAAAACTTGAAGAACCAAAGATGTACAATTAGGCAGAAGATGTGTGACTTCAGAGGGGGAGGATGTGAGCCCGTGTCTGGAGGGCTGTGTGCCAAGCAGTCTCAGCAGCTCTAATCTTTAATTCTAAGAGCTGTGAAAGCGCTTTCTTCATATTTAGAAGACAGGTTTAAAGAGCCAGTGCCAGCAATCCAAATGATAATCTCACTGCCAGTCCTAGTGTATGGTGAGACAGGCGGGTCCCTGGGCCTGCGTATATATATAAATACATATATTTATAATCTTGACTCTGGGTTGTACTTATAAGTTAATTCATCTCCCAGGTGCACTCAGTTCCTTGAATAGTCTCCTGTTTGCAAACTTTAAGTCTAGTACCCTATGGACATTTATTTAGCAAAGAATTTCTGTAATCCTTCCTAACCAGTAAAGATTTGTTTCCAGTTGTGGGTTCTGAAATACATCTTTTGGTCCTGTCGTCTTTACCTTGACTTTCCTTGGTCACTGTGAAAACAAGTCCACCCACAGCTATCCTAGCGGACCGTCTCTCTATGGCCAGTAGAGCCTTGTCATGCCCATGAAAGGCTACTCTCTTAGTTTCTCAGTGTCTTATGATCAAAGTAGCTTTTTATATTGGGGTGATGTTTCTCATTCATGTGTATTAGTGTAAGATGGGGAAAGCAGTAATGTTTCATTTTATATAGAAATGGACGGAGTGGGTGCTTACTTTCAAGGGAGGGTTAGTCCACTGATTCATTTACCTCTTGGAGGTCACTGAAGTCAGTAAAACAGTGTTTCCATAGCGACTGTTAAAGGGACCCCTGATTCTATAAATTACAGAAATGTGGGGAGATTGTCTGATCAAAATATATTTTGTGGGCTGGAGAGATGGCTCAGCGGTTAAGAACACTGGTTGTTTTTGCAGAAGACCCAGGTTCGAATCCCAGCACCCACATGGCAGCTAACAACTGTCTGTAACTCCAGTCCCAGGGGATCTGACAGCCTCTTCTGACCTCTGAGGGCATTGCATGACACAGGTGCACTTACCTACATGCAGGCAATACACACATACACATAAAAATAATAAATAAAATTTAAAAAAACACATTTTGTGAAATTCTCAAAAAAATAATATTTATATTTTATCATTTTTTCATTTTGTTTGTGTTTTATTTTGTTTTATTTTTTAAGAGAGGGTCTCCCTGTAGTCCCAGTAGGCCTGGAACTCACTATGTAGACTAGCATCTGCCTGCTTCTGCCTCCCAGTTACTAGAATTAAAGGTGTGAGACACCACACCCACCCAGAAATTTAAAAAAAAAATTTTAATTACAGAAATCTATCTTTGTCTGTAATTGAATTAGACATCAAAATCAATAGATGCATGAAAGAAATGCCAAGTTGAAAGCTTGGAAACTAGCCCAGTGTTAGCTAAGCGCCCACAGAAGGGGGAGATGTGTATCATAGGAGTGAAGCACTGTGTTCAAAGTGCTTACTGTGTGCTAGGCCTGGGTCTTAAACTCTGACCATCAAGCGTCTCTTCTTTCTCTGGCCTGAAAGTTGTATCAGTTGCACTTCATCCTTATGATACTTTTCATTTAGACAATGCGTTTTAAATCTACACACAGATAGGCTAGTCTTTTATTATTTTGAGCAGTAGGATTTGCAAAGCTTTAAAAAGCCTTCCTGGATCTGCTGCTGATGAGATGGAGTCTGCTCAGGGCTTATGGCTCACACTTCCCCAGATTGCCCCTCTTGGCATTCTTCCAGCTCTAAATAGAATTAAGCAGATTAAAAAAAAAAGTTGGGTGAGTTGATGAAGTGCTTGCCACCAAGCAGAAGGACCTGAATCGCACACCAGGACCCACATGAAAAAACCAGGTGTGGTGTGCTCTTGGAATCCCAGGGCTGGGGAGGCAGAGACAGGTGGATCACTGGGCCTGCTGGTCAGTCAGCCTAGCCTACCTGGTGAGTTCCAGGCCAGTGAGAGACTTGTCTCCTTAAACAAGGGATCTGGCTCCTGAAGAACTGTACCTGAGGTTGACCTCTGGGTTCCACGTGCACAAAGTCTTTGTGAGGCTCATTCTTGGCTGAAGTTTTAAGTTTCCTATCTATTTAGGCCTGCAAGATACAACCTTCTTTAAAGAATCAAAAAGTTTGAGGAGCTAGGGGCAGAGAAAAATGCTTTTAACCAAAATTAGAGGTGATGAGTTTATTCAAAATGTGGGGGTAAAATTTAACAAGGCACCATATACCTGTAATTCTAGAATTCAGAAGGTGAAGGCAGGAGAATTGCCAGTTCAGTCTGGGCTGCATAATGCAATCCTGTCCAAAAATAATGTGGGTGAATTTGGCAGCTAACAGCTGCTCATAACTCTAGTTCCAGGGGATCCGAAGCCCTCTTCTGAGCATTGCACAACATGGGTTGCCCTTACATACATGCAGGCAATACATTCATGCACATCAAACAAAAATAATTTTTAAATGTGGGTGGATTTCCGTGGCATAGGTGTAGAACTGTAGGGGTAGACATGTCTCCTCCCCAAATTCAGAGGCCACAAAGGAGGTGTGCAGCAGGGACAGATTGGTCTGAGTGTGGAAGCTGAGACTGGTGGGCTAGCTGGCTTCTGGAGTCTACTGTACCAGTTTGATTGGTGTTCAGGGATAAATGGGGTTGTAAGTTAAGGGTGATTGTACTGTATGTGAAGATTATGTAGTTAAAAAGCAAGGGCATGGACTTTAGATTCATTTCCTTGCTTTTTCCCCCTGTTGATCTTAACGCTTATTACATATAGAAGATGAATAGGAATCTTGAATAGTTCACAAATTATTGAAGGTTCCAAGTCAAGAAATATGTAACAGCTGGGCATGGTGGCCCACCCCTCAACACTCGGTTCTCTGTGAGATGGAGGCCAGCCTGGTCTGCATAGTGAGTTCCAGGCCAGCTGGAGCTATAGGGAGACCCTGTCTCAAAATAAACAAAAACAGAAATATAGAAGCTTAAAGTATGAAAACTATAACTGGCCCATCCTGTGAGAGGCTATGCACTGACTCTTGTTTCCTAGGAGAACCTGTTCGGAGGAGCACTGACAGGCTTTCTTTCCTCTTAGATGGATGGTGACAGTTCTACGACAGATGCTTCTCAGCTAGGGATTTCCGCAGACTACATTGGAGGAAGTCATTATGTTATCCAGCCCCATGATGGTAAGACATCCACCGCTCAAGCAGACACACACTAGGTTACTGGTGTCCAAATAGGAAAATCAGCAATTGCATGTCATAGTTCATTGAAAATCCAAATGGGAGCCTGGCCCAGGGGCACAAACCTGTAATCCCAGGTATTTGTGAGGCTAAGGCAGGAGGAGGATTGCAAGTTCAGGTCCAGCTTGGGCAAAGTAAAAGAAAAAACTAAAAGAAAAATCACTGGGAAATACAGCTCAGTGGTAGATGTGCAAGACCCTAGAGCCAGTCCCTCCTCTTCCCAAAGCAAACAATGCAAGAAGGTATATCGTACTATTTTTATTAAAAATAGTCCAGAAAAGTAGTGAGTCCTAGAAGAGTTCTCTAAAAGTAGGCTTTTCTAAAAAATTAGTTTCTTTTAAAATTTATCACTAATTTCCAATTTAACCATTAAAAAGAGAAATCCTTATTTAATTGATATAATAAATAAAATAGTTCTTTTAAGGGTAAGTTAAATTGCTACCTACTCTAGTGTTTATGTACAAGCTTATTTTTGTTTTTCATTCGGTACAATATGTCAACTGTTAGAGTAGAAATTTGTTAACTGCTTTTGTGGCATTTCAATTTTTAAAATTAAAAGTTAAGATACAGTTTTTAAGAGTTGTGAAGGAATTAGTTTCTGGATCCTATATTATCTAGCTGGGTCAGTAATAGTCAAGTCTAACTTTTCATAGAATCTTTAACTTTTTATAGAATTTAATATAAATTTTATATTAACAAGTCTGTAAGTGCTGGGAGTTTTACATATATATACTTTACATATATATCTATGTAAACTTGGCTTTAGATAAACTTACACCCTCTTAGACTAGCAGTATTTAGGAGGCATAGGTTACAGACTGAGTTCATAGCTCAGTCAGGCAGTGAACAGGTATCTGCTCTGCCCCTCCTGGGGATTAACCCAGGACCTCATGCATGTTAGTCAAGCTCTCTGCCACTGAGTTACATTCCCCAGTGATGAGCACCTGCTCTGTAGAACCAAGTCCCAGGACACACAAAGCTAATTGCTGGCATCAAGGAGAAAATGAAAAGTCAAAAGAACTAGAAAATACTTGAGAAACAGCAGAGAGAAGTGGCTGTGGAATCGTGTGGAAGGCAGGGTGTGTTGGAATGTCATAAGGTGAGACGAGCTTTCTGAAGAAAGGATGGTGGGATTTCAGTTGGCAGAGTGAAGACAAGAATTCTAGGCACTGGGTTTGAAAAGAACAGGTCAGTTAGTTCTAGCCCTGGAAAATGAGAAAAACTGGTATCTTAATCCCTGATGAACATGAGGAGACAAGCCATAGTGGTTCTTGTAGATTGTTTCAGATAGTCTTTTCAGTTTTGAGGTAAAAATTATGAAAAGCTTTAAACTTAATTCTTTTAAGATATATTTATTCTTTATTTATGTGTATGTACCTGCGTGAGTTTCTGTGGACCATGTGTGTGCAGGTGCCCATGGAGGCCAGAGGGTGTTGGATCCCCTGGAACTGGAATTACAGGCGGTTGTGAACTGCCTGATGTGGGTGCTGGGAACCGAACCCTGGTCCTCTGTAAGGGCATTAAGTGCTCTTAACCACTGAGCCATCTCTCTAGCCCCTAAACCTAATTCTTAAAAAACTTTCTTTAGATACTGAGGACAGCATGAATGATCATGAAGATACAAATGGTTCAAAAGAAAGTTTCAGAGAACAAGATATTTATCTTCCAATTGCAAATGTGGCTAGGATAATGAAAAATGCCATACCTCAAACAGGAAAGGTAATGTAGAGGAGAAATTTATCTGGTTTTTCTTTTGCAGGGGGAGGGAGAGGGAATGTAAACTTGTCTAAGACCACATGTATACAGAGTTCCATCAATAGTTAGCTATTGATTTCATTCCTTCAGCCTTTTAGCAAATCAAATACTTATCTCTGGTTGCTTGGTCACTGGACAGTGCTCCGTTACCAGTGCTCTCACTTCCTGTGTGCTCTCTTTACATCTCTGATGCTCGGCAAAGTTACGTCATGTTGGACTGAGAGAAGAATAATATGACTTGCAAAAACCCTTGGCATTTGAAAATAGCTATTATTCTTAAACACATAGAACGTACATTTCAACTGGTGTGATTTTTTTTTTTTTTTTAAGTAGCTTTTCACCTTCTTTTACAAAACATTCCTGAGTCATGTATGGTGGTGGTCCATGCTTCTTTTATTTTGAGCATTTGTGAGGCTGAGGCAGGAGAATTGCCACCATTTCAAGGGCTACATAGAGAATTCCACACCAGCCTTGGCTATATAAGTAAGACCCTGTGTCAAAAGACAGACCTCAGTACTTATCACTTGGCCTGAGGTAAAATTCATACTTTATTTACTGTTTTATGTTACATAGTAACTTTTTCTAACATTTTTATAAAAGGGGTTTTTTTTTTTTGTTTTTTTTGAGACAGGGTCTCCCTGTAGCCCCAGCTGTCCTGGAACTCACTATGTAGACCATGCTGGCCTTGAACTCACAGAGATCTGCTTGCCTCTGCCTCCCGAGTGCTGGGATTAAAGGCATGCGCCACCACGCCCGGCCCAAAAGTTCTTTTGAAAGTAATAAAGCTTATAAATAAATAAATATACTACTAATACGTAACTAACCCTGTAAGATCCAGTCTGAGAAAGGTCCTCCTTATGTGTTAGGGGAAAAATGTATAGCTGTTAACTATTGCTTTTAAATAGCTTAGGCCTGCCCTGTTTAGTCCAAAACTGTAACCAATGTGGCTGCTAAACACCTGGAATTGAGATGTACTGTGGCTAGATAACCCACAGATTTTAGAGACTTCGTGTGATGAACAAGATTGAAAATGTCTCATCTTAGAATTACATGCCAGGCATAGTGGCACATGGCTTTAATCCCAGCACTCAGGAAGCAGAGATCGGCACATCTCTGTGAGTTCCAGTCCAGCCAGAGCTACACAGTGAGACCCTGTCTCAAAAAAGAAAAAAAAGAAAGAGTGATTACACGTTTCATTAGTAGCAATTTGTATATATACTGGTTAACATGGCTACCAGAAAATACAGTTACACGTGGGCTGCCTTACATTACTAATGCTTGACTGTTTGTGCCCTTCTCATTTGCTTTCTCCAGCATGTAGAACAGACCTGGAGGTAAATGACAGTACTTTCACTACATTGACCTATATCTATATGAGAACAGTTTGCTCAGGTTGGTTCTCTTCTAACATGTGTGTCCTGGGGATCAAATTCAGGTCCTTAGGCTTGGTGGTAAGCACCTTTACCTAATGAGCCATCTGGCCAGCCCCAGTGACAGTATTTCTCAGGAAGGAATTTGGGTGTCATTGTTGTTAAAAGTGGCTCTGGAATTGTAGGATTGATCTGTTTTGGTTTTGTTAGACGCCAGGCCTTTAAGAATTGTTTTACTGTGATGTGGAAGGTATGTACTGTTTTAGGCAATAAGCTCAGAACCCATACTTGACATTTTATAGCCTCAGTAGTAAAAAATGATATGTTGATATTTCATTCCTTTCTAAGTCTTCCATGAATTTCATTGTTGAGGGTTTGGGGGGAGCAGGGATATTTTCTGTGCCCTTATTCATGGAAATGTTAAGAGACGTGCTCCCTAAGTCTACAGCTCACTGTGCTCAGTTGCAGGTGCACTGGCACCCAGTCAGGGTTCTCATCTGTCTGGAGTGGTAGAGCTGCTCAGTAGTGGCTTCTGTCTGTGTCTGTTCTGTTTGCTGGGAAGAGTTGCAGAAGCTTCTCTCACTTTTATTTACATTTTTATTCTGTTTATTCTGACTCTAGGCATTGGTGTTTTGACAGCACACTCTGCTGTTCCCAGCATATGTTCAAGGTCATCCGTCATCCGGGCTGGCCATGTGGCTCAGGAGCTTGCCTCGCATGCACAAAGCCCTGGGTTTGATCCCCACTACCACATGAAACCAGGCGTGGGGTGAACACTTAACAATCCTAGCACTCGAGAGGTGGAGGCAGGAAGGTCAGAAGTTTGGGTCATTCTGACTACGTAGAGTTTAAGCCCCGCCTGGGATGCATGAGACCCTTCTAGAAAGAAAGAGAATATCTGTCCTGAGGAGGAGCGTGCTTCTGCATAGCCTTTTGTTCTTCCAGATGTTAGGAAGGTAATACTTAATTTCCTACAAGTTTACCAGTGATTTTTTTCTTCTTCAGATTGCAAAAGATGCCAAAGAATGTGTTCAGGAATGTGTGAGTGAGTTCATAAGCTTTATAACATCTGAAGCAAGCGAGAGATGCCACCAGGAAAAGCGGAAGACGATCAACGGAGAGGATATTCTGTTTGCTATGTCTACTCTGGGCTTTGACAGTTATGTGGAACCTTTGAAACTCTACCTTCAGAAGTTCAGAGAGGTTAGTAACGTCTGGTGCATTGTGCTGTTAGGAAAATGAGATTCTCCTTCATACTTTAAACATGTCAAAATGCTTTTGTAGCGAATTATGTAACATTTCTCAGAGTGGTTAACCTGTTACATTATAGAACTTGAATACCAAGCCTTTTCTCGTCTCTTTTTTTTTTGACATTTTCATTTTATTTATTTTTCATGTATTTTTTAAAAAATAATTTATTGAGAATTTCATGCATGCATATAAGGTCGTTTGATCAAATCCATGCCCATTCCCTCCCCTCCAACTCCTATCTCCCCATCACTTTTTTCTGATAACTTCATGTACTCTTTCTTCTTTTATTTACTTTTTATGGGGCTTTTGGCTACTCTAACATTCCCCCCTCTAAAGAGTAACCCTAAAGTCTTTTTCTTTTTTTTTTTTTGGTCTTTTTTGAGACAGGGTCTCCTTGTAGCCCCAGCTGTCCTGGAACACACTATGTAGACCAGGCTGGCCTTGAACTCACAAAGATCCACCTGTCTCTGCCTCCCAAGTGCTGGGATTAAAGGTGTGCACCACCACACCCGGCAACCCTAAAATCTTTTAAGGATTAGATATGAGTTCCCAAATACTTTCAACATTCTTGGCCTTTGGAACAGAGTATGTTGCTAAGAGGCCCAAGGATCATTCCATCCTCTGAAGGGGTTACCCAAATTGCCAATAGGGAATAGGGACGCCGACCGCTCTGGCTTCTTCCATGCTGAACAGGGACGCAGGATGAGGCAATTGGGGCACTCCTTCAGTGGGTCTATCTGAAAGACTCCCAAATTGCATAACTCTTATCACCACATGGAGGCAGATCTAGGCACTCTCTGGCAGTTCTCTGTGTTCTTGGTCCCTATGCCAGAGGGAGGCCAGAGCCCGGCACTCTCTGGCGTCTGCTGAGATCACAGCCGCTACACCAATCTTCTTTTCTCTTTATTACAAACTCCAGCGGTATGTGGTGATTAAAGGCATTCAGGCCACCTGAAAAGTAGAATGCCTTGACCTTGGGCAGAATGTCAGTTTGGGCTTTGGTGTCCTTATCTGTAAAGAGGGGCTTATGGCATGTGCATAGTAAAATTACTGAGAAGACTAGGTAAACAGTGGTCAGTGCTGCTGATGGTAATTTATAAGAGGCAGCATCACTAAGCTTGAAGCTCTTTAGATAATAAAAAGAGGATGTTACAACTATGTCCTGTTTGTGTGGGGGGGGGCGCACGTGTGTTCCCATGAATGTACACACATAGGCCAATGGTCAGTGTCAGTTCTCTTCCCTCTATCTGTCTGAACCTAAAGCTTACCAGCTGGACTGACTGGCCAGCAAGTCCTAGAAATCCGTCTTCTACCTCCCAGCACTGGAATTATAGGTGTGCATAGCTTTGCCCAGTTTTTACATGGGTGCTGGGGATTTGAACGCAGATCCTCATGTTTGCACAGCAGGCATCTTTAGTGTTAGAGTCCCTTTAAATTGGTAATGTCTGCATGGATTGATTATAAAGTAGGAAGAGAATGCATATATCCGCAGTAGTTTTCCAAATCTTTAATACCATGACACCTAGAGTAGGTGGAACCTTGTAAGTTTTTGGTTCAAACTGTAATTTGTATTTGAGAATTTTAAACTCTAAGCTTGCTGCTTCCCATTAGTTCCCACTTGCCCTGTGAAAGAGAGAGAGAGAGAGAGAGACAGAGAGAGACAGACAGACAGACACTTGGGCCATTTGTAGATTCATGAGCTGACTGTTGTGTAGAATTCTGTCATTCTGTCATCCCTTTGAGGTGCTGTGGAATTAGATTGATTTTTATTTGTAAATACTTTAGATTTTTTAGGTCATTACTAATAATGTTGTCTTGTAATGCTATAAAAAGTATTTTTCATATGTAACTTGCCAGAAGTGTTAAGAAAATACCGTATTATAGAAAGGTTTATGATAGAAATGTCCAGTTTTAGGCACTAAGTACACATTCTCATTTGGAAATTTGATTTGAATGCTTGTTCTTTGGTTTCTTCTGCAGGCCATGAAAGGAGAGAAGGGCATTGGTGGAGCTGTTTCAGCGACAGATGGACTGAGTGAAGAGCTTACCGAGGAGGCATTCAGTAAGCAGCAGTGGCTGGGAGTGTGGGTCGAGCTCCATGTCTGTGGCGGTAATTTTGGAGTCTCAGTGCTGAGTGTTTTGACAGCACTGATCTAAATGATTCTTACAAGTTTATACCCTGTATTTAAAGTCAATACAGGATTTTAACTTGGAAGACATGATCTTTTAAGTGATAGTCCCCAGTCATTTCTATAGCCACTAGCTTTGGATGAAGATTCACATGAGATAAGAATATTGAGAATTGGCCAGGCATGGTGGCATATGCCTTTAACCTCAGAGAGGGAAGCAGGCAGATCTCCCTGAGATCGACACCAGCCTGCTCTACATAATCAGTTCTAGGCCAACCTTGTGGCACATGCCTTTAATCCCAGAGACAGAGGCAGGCAGATCTCTGTGAGCTCAACGCCAGCCTGGTCTACATCAGTTCCAGGCCAGCTGGAGCTACAGGGAGACCCTGTCTCAAAAAAAATTATACCTTGTGATATAAATTCTTTGTATTTATTTTTATTTTATGTGTGAGTGTTATGCTTGCATGTGTGTAAGTGCACCTGTGTCATGTAGGACAGAAGAGGGCGTCGGTTCCCCTGGAACTAGAGTTAAAGATGGTTGTTAGCTGCCATGTGGGTGCTGGAATTCGAACCTAGGTCTTCAAGAATAGCCAGTGCTCTTAATGCTGAGCCATTTCTAGCCCCAATGATATAAATTCTTATGATTTAAATGAATACATTTCAGCACAAAAGTTCCTTTTCAGATTTTAAAAATCTTGTTATAGTGGTGAGATAAAAGGTCTATAGTGAATATATTTGTTACATAAATATTTAATGTCTGTTCTTCAATCACCTCACCTGTAAAATACATGCTGCTCAGTTGTGCGTTGCTTTCAGCGAAGCCTTGAGGAGAAGCCCAAGTCTGATCATGACTCACAAACCCAACCTTTCTGCATTTTACACATGGGAATTAGCTAAAGTACAGCGTAGAGATGTGAAAACACAGTAAATTGGAAAATACAATAGGAAAAATGTGCTTTTTAATTTGGGGGAACTTTTTTAAAATAGAAGAGTTGATGGTTTATGACTCCGTAGGATTACATTATGAATATCTGACCAGATTGTAATGAGACATTAATTTAATGACATGAAACCTCAAGGTTCAGGCCAAGAAAGTAGATGCAATTATTTCCTCTCTTTAACTTTTTTTTTCTTTTAGCTAACCAGTTACCGGCTGGCTTAATAACTGCAGATGGTCAACAACAAAATGTCATGGTTTACACAACATCCTATCAGCAGGTACTGTGCCATCTTTGAATTTTAGACAACTTGGTAAAAATGGATTATATTCAGTGATTTTTCTTACTTTATTACCCATAATTCCAACGTGTTATTGCTATTAAGAATCTGATAAGATAAAAATTCTTAAAAATTGTTTTGTCAAGTCAGGTATGGTAGTGCACACCTTTAATCTCAGCACTTGGGAGGCAGAGGTAGGAGAATCTCTGAGATAGAGGCCAGCCTGCTCCACATAGCGAGTTCCAGCTACAGGGAAACCCCGTCTCAAAAAAGCTTTTTGTGTTCCTATATATTTAGAATCCCTTAATGATAAAAGAGAACATGTACAGGGTATATATTTGCATAGAAAACTTCTAGGACGATGCTCAAATCCTTCACTGGCTCCTGTGAGTGGAGGGCCGCACGCTGACGTGACCCTTGATGGTGGGAGGTAGCTTACTTTCCTTACAGTCCATTACTTTATTCGGTGATTGTAATGTACCTGGTACTTATAAACATTAATATCTCACTCATTGAAAATGTGAATTTTTCAATCTTAGATTTCTGGTGTTCAGCAAATTCAGTTTTCATGATCTGATGAAACGGAATGGGGCTTATGGATAGCAAGAGTCTTTAGAGTCTGGAGCAGAGGCCCTGAAGGAGCGACTGAAGGAGGCCTCTTTGTACATTAAGTAGCTGTCATGTAGCTTCCTGGCGCTTGACTAATTGAGGTGTTAATTCTGACTTGAGAATCTTTTTCATGAATGATTTTAAAGAAAAGTTTGGATTTTAAAGGTATTAAAATATTTTTGTTTTGTACGAGAGTTTGTTGCTCTGTATGACGCCTGTATGCATTGTATATTGCAATTTATTACTGTCAGAGATTTGTAGACAGTTTCTTATTTTCATATTGAATCGTGTTACTTTTGTAATTCAAGTAAGCAGCTGGGTTAATTCATGATGTTTGCCCTTTTAATAAAATATAAGGGTAGAGTTCATTTTGAATGAAAGTTGCCTTTATTATAAATTTGAGTTTGTCTTGGCTATATACGATCTTGCATGATAACCTAGCTAGATTTTTAGCATTTACTGTATTTATTGAAATTAATTTTTTTGGTAAAACATTTATAGCTTAAGCAGCATTGTTTTTTTTAATATGTAGTTGAGTAATTAAGTTTGAATGCGGAAGCAAGTATTGTCTGCCCGATTAAGCCTGGTGCCCGTTCACAGTGTCCACACTGTTCATCGTGCCTGCTCATGTCTTGGTTACCTGAGTTATAAGTGTTGGAATTCGTTTCCGTTTACTGTAGTCCTAGTGCTCCTGGAACCATGTCCCTTGTTTGATACTTGGCTATTTTTCAGAGTGTATCTTCAGGTTTTACAGTACCCTCGTCCAGAAGAGAATTTTTTAGTCCAATGATAAATGTCCTCATTTAATTTTCTAACTGAAATGTCATATTTCCTATACTGTGGGAACTAAGAAACATTGGATGTGATTATGTTTCTGAGTTGTGATCAGACCTAGACCTCACCACAAGGCTTAGCTGGAAGCAACACACGACCTTCTGCACAAATGAGTGAACAAACAGGAAAGCAGTGAGGGCTGAAATGATGTGAAATAGGAGCCACCACCTTCTGGTCTGCTGTCCTGGTCTCTGCAATAAACTAACATTAGATAATGTGACTTTGTATAATTTAGTAGTGTGTGCTTGGGTTGTTCCTTTTTTATGTGAGGGTTATATTTTCTCATCTGTACTTTTTAGTGATAATTAACTTCATTGGGGGTGGGTGGTTGTTTTAGCACTGTCAAAAAATGGCTATTGTATAGTTTGCCTAGAAGGAAATTTGAAGATACCTGTAGGACTCTCAGAGGTACAAGGTAGAACAATTTTCCTGGAACAGGCTGAGCAGAAACATCTGCTTTGCCAGAGGAGCCTTCGGGAGCATTTATTCAGATGTTATAAATAACTCCCTCCTCTCCTGCCCCCCTTTTCAAAAATAATCTATATTATAGAAAATGCACATAGGAAGGAGAGGGTGGTTAAGCAAAATCAACAGTCATCCTACTATGTTGAAATAACAATGTTAATATTTTGATAAATATCATTTGTCCTTTTACTTTGCTAAATATGTATATTTTTATAAAAATGGTCTCATATTGTGCATACTGTTTGTAACCTGCTTTTTTCACTTAACAATATATTGTGAACATCTTTCCCGGGTCCTGCATGGTCTTCTGTATCATTTTACTGGTTTATATTCTGTTATATGACTGCATTATGATTTGTTTAATCATCTCTTGGATATTTTGACTACATCTTTTCACAGTTATAAACACTTCACAAACTCGTGTACATCAGGACTTTTCTTGAAATAAACTCTTAGAAGTAGAATTGCTGGGTTACCAAATCTGCAAGATGTGAAGGCCTTTGATACATATTGGGTTCACTCTTGAAATATGTCCTACCCAGCACTGTATCCTCACATCACTGATAACGTGTGGCCTGTGGTTACTGGACTCATACTTTCACGTTGCTTTAAGATTGAGTGAAGAATAAAGATAAAAAAGAAATGGCTAACAGTCTTAAAACTTAAAGCAGAATACATCAAAACAGAATTTTGAACCTAATAAATTGCTAGTAGTACTAGAGCTTAGGGCAAAGTCAGGTCATCTTTGGGTTAGAGATCTAAGCCTTTGTGTTCACAGGGAAGAAACCTGGCATTCCCATCTGTTAATCTCTTTGATGTGTGCTGAGGGTGACGTAATGCTGCCCTCCTGTCTGCCCCATGCTACATTTCACTGATAACCATGTTTCACCCCTGGAATCAAGTACAAATGCTCCTGCCTAAAATACTATGAATTTGTAAATTACTACTTTTTTGGTTATCACAAAAGAGAAATGGGTTTTAATGATTAAGTCGCAAGTGGAAGAAGGGACTTAAGTCATTTCCTGATGTCAGTGCTTTGGGATAATGGCGTTGAAGCTGTTTGTATTTATTTTCCTCCTCCAGCAAAATATGTATGTAGTGTTTGCCTTTCTTGAAAACATACTGTATTGCCTTAGTGAGCTAAGGAAATACCAGTAACTTTTAATACTCTTAATTTAAAACTGATGAGGGTTCACCTAAAATCTCTAGCATAGCAGTTAACATAAGAAAATGAAATGCAAGGCTGGCAAGACGGCTCTGTGGGTAAAGGCACTTGTTGCCAAGTCTGACAACCTGAGTTCCATTCCTAGAACCCATGTGGTGGAAGGAGAGAACCTATCTCTGCAAGATATTCTCTGACCGTCATCAGTGTGCTGTGATACACATATGCTCACACATGCACACACACAGTAAATGTAATAAATTCATAATTTATATCATTTGTAAGATTCAAATCTTTTCTCTCTCACAAAGTTGTGAGTTACCAGCAGAGAATGGGCTGCCAGATATGTCATCTACTTTGCAATAGTAAGTCTTCAGTGCCCAAATGAAATTAAACAGTAGGTGTGTAACAGCCTGTACATGGGTTGCTATAGCCCCTTGGTTCTTTCAAGAGTACTTTTCACTGGCACGTGCCTTGTTATCCCAGCACTTGGAAAGTAGAAGCAAGAGCAGCAGGAGTTCAAGGCCACCCTATCTCAAGTACAAACAAACAAAACACCCAAATACCAAAAGACAACTCTGTCCTGCATGCACTTCAGGGATTTATGAATCAAGATGAATCTTCAAAACCATGGCCACAGATGACTCTGGAATGGGATTATTTCTCTGGCCTTTGGCCGTTGCATGTGAAGACAAGATACAAACTTGCCTGTAAGTGTAGCTCCAGCTTTCCCTGACTGCACACAGACTGCACAGTACGTTAGGTCAAGTATGTGCAGGCCCTGTAAGTAGAAACTTAATGTCCATGCACTATTTCAGGAGTGCACATTATGTCTTGGCATTCCTCAATCTTCCATAAAAATAGATTAATAGAAACTGAATCATGGTGAACATTTTGCCTCCTGTAGGTATAATTTAGGTATTCCTGGTTGGCAATAGCATCTTTTTGTTTTACTTTTGCCTCTGCTTTCCAAGACTTAGTTTTAGAGTATCTGGATAAAAGGTATTTCTGAATCTTGAGCAGTGAATAGTTGAGAACAAATTTCTTGGGGCTGACAAGATGACTCTGGGTATAGGTGCTTGCCACCAGGCCTAATGGCCTGAGTTTGATCCTTGGAACCCAGAGTGGGTGGGGCAGGGGGTGCTGCATGTTGTCTTCTGACCCCACACATGTTCATACACAGAATAAACAGCAAAAACAATTTAAAAGGAAAATGAGTTTCTAGGCAAAGAAGGTGCAGCCAGGACCTGTCAAGGAGGCTCATTCATACATCTAATTCTCATTATTTTATAAGAAAGCAAATCCATTTGAATGTGGTGGTGCAACACCTGCAGGCCCAGCACTTGGGAAGCTGAGACAGGAAGATTGCTTGGGCTAGGGAATTCAAGTCCAACCTGGCAACAGAGTAAGATGCTTGCTCAAAACAAAACCATACCTGGCTTGAGACCCTTTTTTTTTTCAATCTTTTTGAGACAGGGTCTCCCTGCAGCCCCAGCTGACCTGGAACTCACTATGTAGACCAGGCTGGCCTTGAACTCACAGAGATCTGCCTGCCTCTGCCTCCCTAGTGTTGGGACTAAAGGCGTGCGCCACCATGCCCAGCTTGAGACCCTATTTTTTTTTAAAGGCAACAAGAACACAGCATCTCATTTAAAACCCCAGAACAGAAGGTAAAATAATATGAAGTGATATACAAATACCATTTAGGGCCTGTGAGATGGCCTGAGGCACTTGCTGCCAAGTCATAACCTGAGGTCAATCCGCTGTGGAAAGCACGAATTGCCTCCTACAATTTGTCCTCTGACCACATTGGCACCATGGTATGCCTGCCGCCCACAGCCACACAAAATAAAACTAAAAATCTTTTAAAAATAAAAACAAAGTGTTTTTAAAATGTGTCTACAAGTTGATATAAAAGCAAGATTTGTTCAGAAATGAAGAGGAAATATGGAGCTTACCTGTGGGGTTAGCCAGCGCCAAAGATTGCTTCTACCCTGAAAGTTGTCTTGAACTCTGCAGACCTTGAAATAGCCAGGTAGGCTGGACCTAAGGCTGACCTAGACTGAACTCTCCCTCCCCTCCCCTCCCCCTCTTCTCCTGTCCATCCACAGGGTCACAGGGTCTTACTGTGTAGCACTGACTGACCTGGAATTCTACGTAGACCAAGTTGGCTTTGAACTCAGATCTCATGCCTTTAATCCCAGCACTCAAGCAGAGACAGGTGGATCTTTTGAGATCCAGGCCAGCTTAGTCTATAAAGAGAGATCCACGCCAACTGAGGTCACAGAGAGACCCTATCTCAAAAACAAAACAAAACAAAAAAAACCCTAAACTAAAAAGATATAATTTGTGAGGAAGTACTATACAAGAGTAGCCAGTGGGCCAGCAGGCTGGCTTGGCGGGTGACAGCAGTTGCCACACAAGCCTACCAACTTGTATTTGATCCCTGGATCCCATGGTGGAAGGAGAGAACCAACTCTCAAGGGTCTGACCTCAACACATGTGCCCTGATGTGCCTTGTTCATGCACACACACGCCACATACACACAAAAGAGTGCATTCAGTTTTATTTGATGTATGAGTGTTTTGCCTGCATGTAAGTGTACCCGTGTCATGCAATACATGTTGAGGCCAGAAAAGGGCATTGAAGCCCCTGGAACTGGAGCAATGGATGGTTATTAGCTGCCATGTGGGTGCTAGGAACTGAATCTGGGTCCTCTGCAAGAGCAGCCTGTGCTTTTAACTGCTGAGCCATCTCTTTAGCCCCATAGATGAAAAAAAAAAAAATTTAAGGCCAGGTGTGGTGGCACATGCCTTTAATCCCAGCACTTGGGAGGCAGAGGCAGGTGGTATCTATGAGATCAAGGCCAGCCTGATCTACATAGTGAGTTCCAGGACAGCTGGAACTATATTGTGAGACCCGTCTCAAAAAAACAAAAACTTTAAAAAGAATACAAACCAAATACTGCTACATAAGGAAGAATAAAATAATGAAGGCAATGGGACATTAGTAATTACTTCATAATCATAAAAGTTTACCAGAGATGATGGAACAGTTCTAAAGCTAATACATAGGAAAGTCAAAGGATAAAGCAAATACTGATAGCTTAAGCAACGAGTTTGATTTCATGGAGGCTAACACGACATAAGCAGGGAAGGGGACACACTGTTCTTCAGTCCATATAAACGTGTATGAAACTGACCACAGGACAGAAGCTGCACAGAAAAGTGAGGTCTGCACTTCACGTTCCCAGCACCATGATAGAAAGAAAAAAAAAAAAATCAAGACTAGAGCCCCTGACATTTGGAAATGCATTTTAAAAAGAACTAATGAGTTAAATATACAAGCCTCTGGAAGAATTAAGAGAAAATGCAAAGGGACACACCATAGGAACAAGAAAGGGTCAGCTTCACATGCTGTGGAGACCAGAATGACACCAGATAATATGGACAGCCTCGTGTCAAAATTCTGGACTAAGAAGACAAATCTTTGGACAAATTGTTAAATTTAATAAAACTGACTCTAGAATAACAGAAAACCCCAATAATCCTGTAACATTAAGAACAATCTAAACCTTCCTTCAATGACCAAATGGCTATAAGACTAGTTTCTAAACTCATCCCCCAGAAAATTGGAAACCTGTTTCATGAGAGTCGTAGAGCCTTGTTTTCAAATCAGAGGACAGGATGTGAAAGGCTGTTAACAGACTGCTTTCACTCATGACACAGGAGCAGAGTCCTGAATTAAATACTGGCAAGCCAAGTGTGGTGGTGCCAGCCTGTAATCCCATGCTTAGGAGGCTGAAGTTAGAGCATCATGAGTTGAGACCAATCTGGGCTATATAGAAAAACCCTGCTTTTAAAAGTAGGGGGGTGCGGAGACTGGAGAGCTGGCTCAGTTTGTCTACTGGCTGCTTTTCCAGAGGTCCTGGGTTCAGTTCCCAGCACCTACATCACAGCTAACAGCCATCTGAAACTCCAGTTTCAGGGGATCCGATGCCCTCTTCTGGCCTTCATGGGCATTGCACTTAAGTACAGGCAACATATGCATACATATAAAAGTAAATTAAAATTTAATTGGCAAACTAAGTCTATCAATGTATTAAAACACACATACCATGACCAAGTTGAGGAATTAAACTGGCTTAATTTTTTCTTTTTTCTTTTCTTTTTTTTTTTGTCTTTTTGAGACAGGGTCTCCCTGTAGCCCCAGCTGTCCTAGAACTCACTATGTAGACCAGGCTGGCCTTGAACTCACAGAGA